TTCCCTTGCGATTATCCTGTTGAACCAAAATGATTTTAGTTTTTCATTTTCCTCCTATATTTATGCAACAACTGAATATAATATGACAATAATTTAAATCATTCAAATTCTTTATGCTTACTCTATTTTTATTTTTAATAGTGCCTTGAGCAAAGATTGTTAAATATATTTTTCAAAGTAAGTGATTCTTTATCTTATTTCGATGAGGACAGGAATAAGGATAGAATCCTGGTTTGTATAAAATTTTAATAATTTTAAAAATTTATCAAATAAACACTATGATAGAGAAAGAGAAAGTCACAAAGGGTAAAAAACAACTAACAAACTTCTTATTTAAATTTTATACATTTTATATATTGATTTTGCCTGTATTTCTGCTCAAATACGTACGCGATACAATAATTGTCTTTTTATTACATAAAACTTATGTCACAATCTAATAACGTAATTTCCTTTTCATTTCTCTTAACATTTCATTCATTTGTTTATAAAGCGATTGTGTGTATATAAAAGAATGTGGCAATGCATACAAAAAAAAAAAAATATGTAGAACCAACCATGTTATTTTCTAACGTCATAAAGAGTGTCTATTCATATGAGAACGGCATTTATATTAAAGAGGTATAAAGGTATTGATATGTGTAACTTCCGATAGCCTTGTGTCTATTCAAACTTTTTTATTTTCTCTTTTATTTTTTTTCATTTTTCATTCAAATAACATTTTTTTTTTTTGTTTTAACATTTACCGTTATGCATTGTTAATGTTACGCAACAGTTTTCCAACATTTTTTTCTTTTCATTCTTTTCATTATTTTTTTATAAATGAAATTGCAAAGAAAACAAAAAAAAACAGGTTAAATAAACATTTTTTTTATTGTTTAACGTATGTGTGTGTGTAACTTTTATTTTAAAACTATGAAATGGAAAAATTTTATGTTATTATAACTAGATTAAGGATATTTTCAAGGAGTGAATTTATAAATGAATTGTGTGTGTGTGTGTGTTTTATTTAAATTCTTTTATCAACTTTTATTTTTTTTATTTTAAATTCTAAATGTTTATTTTATTATAACTATATACGAATATAATAGTTCTAGAGTATATTTTAGTTCTAGAGTGTATTTTAGTTTTAAATATTAAAATTGATTACAGTGGAACCGAATTTAAATGAAAATGAAATGAATTGAAGTTTGCCTTTTCCAAAAAATATAATTAAGTTGTAAGTAAATTTACAGTAATAATTGCATTGAAGACTATGTGAGGTTTTAAAAGAAAACAATAGAATTGACCCTCTAGAATGTTTGTGGTGGGAAGTTGAGGGTTATGAAGACCGGCAGTCAGCAAAAAATAATCTCAATTGTGTCATATAAGAAAACTGATTCGTATTTGCAAAAATTTGGTTAATAGCAGCGACATCTTGCGGAAAATAATTGTCTTCGCAAAAATTATGTAGATTATATAAGAATTGATGGCTACTATGTTGCCTAAATTGCAAAATAAACGAATGCATAATGTTTTTATAAATCATTAGCATCTGGAAAATTCTGTGTTAATAATTGTAATGAAAAACCTTAAAAATCTAATTAATTCAAAATTAATTAAAAAGTCTGCACAAATTCAGATCTATTAAATAGAAAATCTGTTTCAAATTTCAGAAATGCAATATTTCAGCCATTAAATTTTCCAATATACACTCAAGAACAACCCAAATAATCTATAATTTTTAAAATATATTTTTTATTTACTACAACATTTATGTAATGGGCCATTAGACATAAAATAAAATTATTTTATCATATCTAGCATTTTTGTTTCTTTTTTGAATCCAGGTCATATTTTTATGAATATATTGATAAAGTACTTTATAAATATATATATATATGTTTGCAGTAAAAAATGTGTGTAAATAGGAGGCAATAAAATGGTTAAAATCAGAAAAAAGCTTAAAAGAATTTTCATTGATTTATTGAAATTGTATGCCAATGCAAATAACACAATTAATATTAAATAAGTTTAGCTATAAAAATTTTATGAAAATTATGGAAATTCTTATCTAGATAATTATTGTCATAACAATTAATATTATGAATGTCATAGATTCTCTATGAATCTCTGTTTTAGGATTAAACAAGAAATCTAACAAGTTCAATTTAAATATTATATATTTTTACTGTTTTATTTTAATCAAAATTACATTGTGTATATTTTATAGTATAGAAACATTATAGAGAAATGTTTGATTTTTCACTTCATTTCATATACCAATCTCATATAATATTTGCACAAAGTTAGAAAATATAATCATCATCAAAAAAAATTTTATCAACAAGTTTAAATAATAATATGCTTTGGCTTTGATTTCAATCGTATATGCATTGTATTATTTCAAAATTTATATAACAGTTTGTATATGTGCTTGTATACACTCGTATCACTTCACTCGTTCACTTGTTAAACACGTTTTGATGAATGATGTTTGTATAGTGTTATTGAAAAGAAAACTTTTTTTTAAATGAAAATTTGTTTTTTTTCTTTTTCAAAAGTAAAAACTTCATTGAAGTTGGGAAAATTCTTTACAGTAGATGAATATGAAAAAAAAAAAAAATGAAAAACTTTTAAATTACACATAGAGGGTATCATTTTATTATTATATACTTTTGTGTTTTAATTGAGTTGAAATAAATTGCATATATTTAGGCGAAATTATATTTCCTTATTTTTTTATTAAAATATACAGCTAGCTATTATATGTTAATAAAGGAACATGCATTTTAAAATGTTTGAGTAAAATTAATTTAAGAATTTGCGTAATAAGATTTAATTAAATTAGCTTGAAAAAATAATTAGAGTAGATTTGGTTGGAGTTAATTTGAAATTTGTATTTTTGCAGTATCAGACAATTTTCAAGGTTTATAAAAAAAGATTCTTTAAGAAATATTTAAAAAATCAAGGAATTGTTCAGTACATTATTACAGTCCATATATATTTAAAGATGAGTAGCTAATTTTGGGAAATATGGGGTAGATAATTTTTCCCATATGTGTACAAATAAATTTAATTGAAGATTCAACTGAGCTCAGGTTTGAACTTGAATATTTTAGAAAAATTTTCATGTACTCATGGTACTCGTATTTTTGAAAAATTTCAATCTTAATAATTTGAATAGCATTTCTTATTTCCTTAAGTATCGCTTAAAATATCAATGTATAGTATGATTTCAATTATTAAACTTGAAGTGTTTATTGAAAATTTTCAAAGTAATATTGTTTATCAAAAAATCAGATATCAAACAAATATAGCTAGAATTATTTTTTAAAAATATTTAAAATCACAAAAAATAATTAATGAATAAAGTATTAAAAATATTATTTGTATAATACTTAGCTCTAGAGTAGATACTCAAGAAATATACGCTAAAACAATATACTCAATATTATCATAGTCCTTATAACTTAGTATATAAAATACGAGAAATTGAAATACATGGGTAGCATGTTTAAACAATAATTTTCAATCAAGAATGAACTGAAAGAAAATTTTCATAATTTTCATTACTATAATCAAATGAAAAAAATCTAAAAATACCCATGAATATCCATGAATGGGTAGAAACGGTGGATAAGAGAATAATGACTACCGTATTTCTGACATGCTTCTTAATAATCGTACAATTTTATGCGAAATTCCTTTCTTCAATCATATTAATAAAAATCTGATGTGGTCAGCACATAACCGACCGCATTGTGTATTGTCTAGTTAAATGAAAGTGTTGCAGAATATTATAAAAATGTCTGCTAAATACTTCTTTCCAATTTTTAGGACATTAGTAAGCTTATAGTTAACATACTTAGAAAAATGTAAATTGGGCTCTTAGTAGAGTTTCGCTTTGTGCTACCCGAATTCCCTGAAATGCTCGCCAGTTAGTTTCGGTAACAACCAGAACTCAAATATCAAATTTCAAGAAATTCCATCAATTTATTCTGTGGATATGGTGAAAAATGTAAAATCGGCCCGCAAATCAGTTCTCGAGTCCTGATCTTTCCAAAAAAGTTATATGTTCATTGCTTTAATATGAGGAATTCATATATTAAATTTCAATGAAATCGGTTGATTATTTCTCTTTATATACACAAAAGTGTATATTTGGCCCGTAGTAAACGTCTAGTTGCCGATGCCTGATTTCTTCCAAAACATACGAATTTTTGCGGACGGTCGAGCTGAGCTTATATATAAAATTTCAAGTAAATCGGTTGAATATTTTCTTCAAAATGTTCAAAAATGTAAAACAGGCCCGCTAAAAAGTGCAGTTCCCGAGGCCTGATATATACCAAAAGTTGATCGATCCGTGCCATGGTGGAAACAAACTTACATATAAAATTTCATCAAAATCGGTTCAGCCGAACTTGAGATACACGCGTGCACACACAGACCGACAGACGGACAGACCGACAGACCGACAGACCGACAGACCGACAGGTTGCTAAAAATAGTTTATTTACACTTCCCCACTATGGAGAAGTACGTTCCCACCGAAAACTCGATATGCAAAATTTGTTGCCATCACATAACCTACCTATTGTTTACACAATACGGTCGGTAAAAATAATTAAATAATATTTTAATTTAAAATTTCGAATACTTAAATTTTATTAATTTTAAGAAACTATTCCGGAAATATTATTCTGCATTTTACAGTAATATTATTTTAATTATTTTGTAATTTTCTTCAAAAAGAATATAAATAAAATAGAAAAACCTCTAAAAATTAAATTTTGAATTGTTACTTAAAATTCACATTTGATTTTACAATAATCGCATGTGGTTTTTAATTGCAATTTTCAATTCAAATTGTAATATGATTGATAAATAAGCCCATTTAACCCCATATAATGGACGAAAATGGGGGAAAAAAAAAATTAAAATATACTATCAATAATGAACTCGAATGTGTAAACCGAAAACCAATAATAATAATTAAAATTCCTTTTTTTATTTTCTCCGAATTTATTTTAATTTCATTATTATTTTAGTAATTTAAATTAAGCATATCCTTTAATTAACTTATATTGTTATACAATGAAATTTGTATTTGTATATATGAAAAGTTCTGCATAAAACAAATATTAATATATTTTTTTTTTTGGTTGTATGTTGTTCTTGTTCTTTTTTTTTTATTGAAAATTGACCATAAAATTACTCAATTTTTTTTTTTGTTTCTATTTTGCTGCTGCTGCTGCTTTTTTTTTTTCAATTTACCACAAAAAATTAAATTGAATTGTTTCATTCGTTTCATATCAAATATTTGTGTGTGTGTGTGTGTGTGTGTACAAATATAGATGATGCAATTATTATGTTCATTTAAATGTATATATATATATGTTTGAATATTAAGTGGTGTGTGTGTACATAAAACTTTATATATATATATATAAGCGTGTCTATTTTCTTGTATTAATTTTAATCCAATCTAAATGTGAACCAATATGTGTATATACTGATGGTTTATTTGCTTTACCACATGGTAATACACCCCATGAAACTAAACCGACTAATATTGTTTTATTATCATTATTTTTTTGTACTAATGGACCACCAGAATCAGCATTACATGATGATATATGCTCATTACGACTACCAGTACATATCATTGTATTATGTAAATTTTTTTTATCTTTATCTGGTAATTCATTTAAACATTCTTCATTTGTTAATAAATCAGTTGTAACAACTTGTAAGATATTTGGTAAATTCCATGAATTAGCAATTGTACGTCCCCAACCATATAATGTTACTTCACCAGTTTGTTTTTCATTTGTTATTGGTAAATCAATTGGTTTTATTGTATTATCATTTAATTTTATTGGTTCTGATAAATGTAAAACACCAATATCATATGGTGATGAACCACCTTTATAATTATCATGTCCAATATAATTTTTAACTTTAATTATTTGTGAATTTGTTGTATCACGTCTATCATGTAAACCAACAGCAACATATAAATTACTTTTAAGACAATGTGCTGCTGTTAATATTGTATTTTTAGTTAATATTGAACCACCACAAATATGTGCACCATTTTCACCTTCTCTTATTGATACAATATATGGTGCTGAATGTGGTTCAGCATCTTTACCACTTATAATACGTCCACGATTAATTGATATATCATCTTCTGGGAAACCAATATAAAATTCATCATCATCATCATTATGATTATTATTTTGTGGATATGCTAATGTTGATAATAATCCAAATGTTATAATTATAAATATTGTCTTCATGGTTCCAACCGAATTTCCAACCGAAATTTACACGAGTATAGAGAATATTAAAATTTTATAATAATAGCGAATTGGTTTTATATAGAATAGAATTGGCCAATAATTTTGATAATTGATAAATTTTTTTTTTTATTATATAATAATTTTAATTGAATACAACAAAATAGATAATGTCCGATTATTTAATATGATTCTGTTAGGGTGACACAATAAAACCATCAAAAAGTGAAGAACACTTATTTGATAAAGTGTATATAATAAAATGATAATAAAAATTACCGGTTTATGTCTATTGTTTGTGTGCTTGAAAAGATAAGAGCTAGATAATGCGGTGTTATCATTGAAGTTGCACCCCAAATGAGTGCTTATTGTGTAATTTCAAGTGCCAAATCAAAATTTTATCTTATATTATTTTATTATAATGAAGAAGGGGTGAAAGTGGAGTACACAATTTAATTAATCAAGCTTCTGAATTTTCTTTTTTTTCGATGTTCAATGAGTTCTTTTTTATTGTTTGTGTTATCATAAATTAATTTTGGAATTTCGAATACAATGAAGATATGAAATTAATAATAAATATTGTGTAGGCTGGGGTATAGTGTTTTTTATATAGAATTTTTTTCTTTCATATAGAATGGTCGGAATTTTTAATTTATCTTCCGATATCATATAGAATGGTCGGACGTTCTTCCGAATAAATTAAAAATTTCTCGTTGAATCCAGTACATACTCCAACAATTTATCTTATAAACTTGATTCAACCCCACAAATTGATTTTATTAGAGGTATTAAGATCCCACAAGGGACACAATAGCTCTTGTTTTTATATTACAGTGCGAGGTTACCCAGTGTCACAATTTATATAAAACTTGGGCCCATAATTTTTATTATACACTATTGTGCACAGTACATCTGCTTAATAATTAATAATTTCATTCCAATTTCATTCAAATTAAATAAAAATAAATTTAATGATAGCTTTCTATATAAAACAGAATTCTTAAGGAGGAAGAATTTTTTAAATTCCAATTTTTTCTTATTTAATCTACAGCTGAATTCAAGTGTAATCAAAGTGATTTAAAATTAAAAAAAAAAACAGAAAAAATTAAATATTAAAGCTAATATTAAAAATAAATCTGATTCCCCTGTATCTAGTGAATAAAAAGTATTTTAATTTCATTTTTTTCTTCTTTCCTGCACTGAAAACGAAATAAAATCACTTAATCTCCTTAAAGTATGCAATTTTTTTCTTATTTTAATTTTTTTATTTTGTTATTTTTGTTTAAGGAATTTGTACGGGAAATTAGTTTTTATTTTTAGTATAAACGTGAATTTGTGTCAAAAAAAAAAAAACTGGGAAAACGAAGAATAGAGAATACACAGGGAAAAAAATATACGCGCGTTAAAGAAAACATAAGAATGAAAAGAAACCTGATGGTAATAAATCAGAAAAAAGAAAAGAAATGCAAGAAAAAAAAATGTTTTCATATCAATCAAATTAAAGGTGAAAATGATAAAATGTAAAAAATTTACACAGAGAAGTACCAATAACAAAAAAAAAAAGCAAAAAATACCCTGAATACACAGAAAGAAACAAAAAAATGAATTTGTTTATTTTTTTTTAATATGCTCAATTCACTATTATACACAGAAGTTTATAAGCACCAACTAGGTACCTACCGAATACTATTCTTTTATATTTTTATTTTATACGTATAACTAAAACAATAGTACCCTATATATGCATTTATACATATATATATATATATATATATATACAGGCGCGGTTCTGATGTATTCGTCGCCCTAAGCGGTTCCTAAAAAGTGCGCCCCCCCCCCCCCCCCCCCTTCAACCTTTTCATCTATTTTATTACTGTGAACAAAATTTAATAGGCATTGCACATTGTGCATCATAAAGCAGTTTCTTGTAACCTTATTGTGCTGAATTATAGAATTAAAGTCTGGAACTAAACTTTCAATTTTTTGTTTTATAAATTCAAAAACAAGGTAATTTATTTAACTGTACGTTTTTTTATGAAGTTATGATCAGATTTATATCAATCACTTAAACTTGATTTTTTGATTTTAACAACCAAAAAATTTACTTTTTGACGTAAGTAAAACTTATTGTAAAAGGTTCTATGAAAATTATATCAAATGAACTTTTTCAAAGCTTATTTGAATATGAAAAAAAGTAAAAAATTATTTTTATTTTTATTCGTAATTTTATTTTTATTTTTATAATTATTTTTATTTTTATTCGTAAAATTTGGCTTTTTATTTCACAAATCGCCTGAGAAATGAAGCAGCGTATAAAAAAAGTTTCGACTTGCATTCAAAAATTTAAGGAAAATCAAAGTTTCGTTCTAAAATTTGTGACTTAAAAACTAAGCTTTTCATGTACATAGCTATAAGCTTTTATACTGTTCATTATATTTTTTAGATTTTATTAAAATAAATGCATTTACTGGTATTTATAGGCTCGTGGTTTTGAAATTTCAGAATGTCGTTTTGCTTAACTGTTTTAATTTTGGAGATAAATGTGTGAAGCAAATTATGCGCCATTTCATTTTACTCTTATTTTTTGGATGACTTACACTACATCAATTCAGCATAAAAACTCTTAACATTCACTTGATTATTAAACAACATTTTTTCAATTCAATATAAGTAGTAGATTTTATCAATTAAAATTTAATTCTGTGATTGATAACAGTTTTTTCAAAAACGAAAGCAGAACATAGTAGTAGAAATTCATAACGATCATGTAATTTTAAAATTCATTCAAAATTTTTTGTTGTTAAACAAAAACAAAATATTGGTATACACAATCTCAATATCAAGCTATGCTTTCCATCATTTAAGAATATTGCTCTCATTCTCTTTTTCTAATTTCTTTCTATTCTCATTCTTAATTTGTGTTTTTTTGTTTTGTTCTTGTTGTTTACTAATGCAATAGTATACAGAAAAGTAATACATTATAATAATGTGTTTGTTTGTTTGGTGAGTGGGCGCCAACTAAGCAAAAATAAAATTTTGCATGTATGAAACAATTTAAATATAATGTGTACGAACGAGTGTAGCCACTAAGCATAATAAAAACATTGCTTTGTGATATAATTATATGTGTACGAGCGAGTGTTGATAGGGAGCAATCTCAGCAAAATAAAAATTTTGCTTTATGAGATAATTATATGTGTACGCATGAGTGTTGATCTTATTCATATTAGACAATATAAATTATGTGTACATGTGTATTTTTGAATATTTTTATTTGTTGCGTACATTGCTTCTATATATGTATGTATATTATATGAGACGATTTCACTTATATATATGAACGTTTGAATGTATACAGCTGTGTGAAATAATATTCTGTGTTTATAGGCATATACAGTACATAAAAAATAAGAATGAAAGAGTAGTGTAGAGTAAAGAAATGTATGAGTAATTTTAATTCTATGAACATTTTTTGTTATATGGTGCAAATAGAAAATATGTGTAGGAACAAAATATTATGTTTGCATGTAGGTAGATTTTATTAAGTTAATTTCGCTATAAATTGATGTATAAAAAAAAACTTGGAATCCTTTTTTTTGGGTGAAAATTTTTTTTTTTTAAATTTAGGGGTTTTTTAAGTTTTCAATGGCGCCCCTATTTTTTATCGCCCATTGCAAATGCATACTTTGCATGTATGATAAATCCGGGGCTGTATATATATATATATATATATATAATATAGACAATTTTCCTTCCTTTGTAATGCGGTAACCATTAATCTTTGTCAATTTGGAAAGCTTCGCAGTTGAATCAATTTTTATTTACCCTCCTATGTTAGTGTATAACATATATGACGTATTCATTTCTGTGTATAACATTTATGTATGTTTGTATATTTTGTGGTTATATTAAATGTATGCACACAGGTTGGGTTTGTTGTAAACTTTTGAATGATACAAAAAAAAAATCCTGTTATTTGTTCAAGATTTATTAAAAAAAAAAAAGAAGCAAAAATAACATTTTTTTTTGTTCTACTTTGTTGTACTTTTTGTTATACGCTTCTCTCTTTTTCTCCTCTTTGTTTTTTTTTCTCTGCACTGTTTTGAAACATTTAAGGACGTCGCATTTTTATTTACTTTAAATATTATAAAAAAAAAAAAATCGATTTTAGATAAAAATTTATTGCATATTGTTTTTTTGTTATATACCCTCTTTTATAAGTGTTATACGAACTTAAATGAAAAGTTTTTAATAGTATAAATTTTGATTATTTTAAGAGTTTTTTTTATTCTCTGTTTCTTTCGTTTTGTTCTTTTAATATAAGAAATACTTTTAAAGTAATATTAATATTTTCTTTTAATGGATAGGTGCATAAGTATAACACATTTATATTATATAAGAGTATGGGTGTTTTTATTAAAATTTATAGCATCAGGGTATTTCGTACTTAAAATAATGTTATGTATAGTGCATAGTAAATATTGAAATTGAAAATAAATTTTACTTAAAAACTTTACGAAAAAAAAACTTCATATGTCTTATTGTAAATAAGTGATATTTATTGCATATCTATAGGGGAATTTTTTTTTTTTTTTTCTTTAAAAGAAAATTTTTCAAATTTTTGAATATATTTTGAGTTTGTATGCAAATGCATTACAAATTATAAATTTTAAATTATAGAAAATTAGAAAATGAAGAGAGTATTTAAAATTCGTAAACTTACTGGATGCTATTCTTTTCATTTCCGACCAATGACAAGGTAAAATTAGTTGAAATTGAAAATTGTATGATTGAACAGAAAAATAAATATGTTATATAATTACGTTTACATTGCAATATTTCATTTACAAAGAAAGAGGACGCATGTAGGTCATAAACCACCAATAACCACCATAACAATGATGGTTATATAATCAACAATTCTGGGATTACAATTTTTTCCTGTTTTCTATTTTACATTCTAATTTCAATAATGTTTAATATTTGACCTTCAGACTTCAAATAATCGTATATTTAGAATTCATTTTTTATAAAAT